TTTTTGAAAATTGCAGGTCTATGACGCTTCGGGCGATTGTTGGAGGCACAGCGCAGCCAGCCGACGAAACCGATCGTAGAGAGATCCGATTCACCATTGAAAATTGCTGGATTCATCACCATCAATAGGAATTTGACAGCCAGGTTTTATGGAGTTTGGTGGGAGAATTATGAGTTGATGACCAAAATTCGATGGGCTGATGATATCTTGAAGAAACGTAGGAGTTAATACTGATGATTAGGTATTGTCACATTAAATATTCGGATTGTTAATGGGGAAATGTAGTGGAATGTTGATGGAATATTGACAGGGCACATATCCAACCACATGACATTTTTCTGCCGGACCCACCAACCGAAAATGATCAGTTGGTGGAGATCAAGTGGGGTTAATGTCAACCCCGGATTAATAAACCCCTGGGCTGTTTAATTGGGAGGGTACCATTTAAGTACTAGATTATGACTATTGGAGGAGTACCCCCCTAATTGATAAACCATGGTTTATTAATCCGGGGTTGACATTAATGAGTATGTGATAGATTGTAATTCAGACCGTTCGTTTATGTTGTAGGCCCTCAACCTTGGAGAAACAAAAAACGTGCCAATGACCATGGCCCAAGCTCTGACCCCTCGGAAGATCGGTTGGGAAGATCGGCTGGCGCGCTCAAAATGTTTGTTGGTTTACCTTCTGGAAATCAAACAGTATATATATATGTGTGCGTGTGTATACATAAATGGATTTTTCATGGGAAAAACGTCTATACATGCTGGATTTTCCATTGGCATGTTTGATTACCAGAGGCTAAATTTACATGAACATCAGAAATTTGTTTTTTTTCAAAGATATGTATACCGTATACCGACCTGTTTGGAAGGTTTTTTTTTGCGAATCCATCATGGCGATCTCCATCGACCACCAACCATGTACAGGGTGGTGCTCTCCAAATGATAAGTTGGTGCATAGTCATAGACTATCTAGTTCGATATCTTTGAATTTATTTATCTATATATATATAATATATGCGTGTACACAGTATAAACCCAACAGCTGATATTCAACCCACTTAGCTGAGTGGCACCTTCTCCTATCAACCGTTTGGAACGACAGGTTCACGTGGTCCGGCAATTTGGGGGAGACACGTTTTGCAGCTGACGTGCCGGTCGGCAATGGCAACACAGTTGGGGCGCCGAGCGTTGGAATCGAGTCAGTGATATGTGTTCAAGGCAGCTATGGAAAATCACATTTTTTCATGGGTAAACCATAATTAGATCACCTATCAATGGGCCATTTTCCATAGCTATGTTAAATAACCACAAGGTAAGTTAAGTGTTGGGTTTGCGATGGATATGTCAAACTATTTAATGAGAGTTATAGACCAACTCCAAATAGCATGGAAATATGCTGGGTGCCCCGCAGACAGAAATGGATGAAATTGAATGGACAGATCGAATAGAGGAGGCCACGCAAGGCATACCAGAGTACAGGAGCGTAGTGATCACCATGGCCTCCAAACAAGGCGGTGACCTCTGGATCAATCTATGAAAATGTTTGGACCTCCAAAATCACCCAAAAAAGATGTCTCAGAAGCTTTTCGTGGAGATGTGGAGCCATAGGGTACATGAGTGATTGCGGGACACCTCGACTGTCAGTTTACAGGTATAAATCGGTATAAAGGTATAAATTATAGAGACCTGAAAAATCCAACAGCCATGGTGTAAAGGAATAGATTTTAGAGATATGTTTACCCAACCTTCTTGGTACTTTCACAAATTCTTATAAGTACATTGAAGGCCATGGCAACATTAGTATGTGGGAAACAGCACCTTTGATATGTCTAAAGTGGTTTTGTCGGTAGACTTCCCTGTTGCCATCAGATATGCCTCGAAATTTGGGATCTCACAGACAATGGGATCCCTCACTAAATATGAACTGATTGGTGGTTTGGAACATTTATATGTTTCCACATTTGGAATTTCATCATCCCAACTGACGAACTCCATCATTTTTCAGAGGGGTAGGGCTCAACCACCAACCAGTGAATCAGTTTGGTTTTGGGGTTTCCATGTTTTTCAGAAACCCCTTCTGTTTCATTGCGAACCTGATGGAATCCCAAGATCCCTACTGGTCATGCTTTGTGAAAAACCCCATAGATCTTAGTGGGGGGCTATGGTTTGCAGTTGGGTCAAGTAAATCACCTAGAAACCCTGGTTCAGTATTTGATCTATTTGGCTCCCTTATCGATGGTACTTAATGGTAATCAAGCGTGGCTAGCTCTTAATTTTCTCCGAAATAGCCATGGAGGTTTAACTGGGAAAGTCGGGAAAATCATCGGCAAAAGGGGTGGAATTTGCAGCAAACCATGTTTGACGAGACCCCAACTCGGTTAATTTCCGCACCAAGCATGTCTTCTGACGCTGGTAATGATCTGGTTTTTGATTGGAGTTGTTTCCAAACATGATGTAATATTCTGATTTGATTTACAAAAATTGTCATGTGTGCCAAAACTCAGTTGACCTGAGCAGGATTTTCAAAATCAAATTACCTGATGTGTTTTTTTTCGAATAGATCATAGAAAATTCCCAAAAATATACATCATCTGGTCCCTAATGTTAAACACCCCCTTTCTCTGGTCCCAATTATGTTTTTTTCATCCCGTACGAAACCATGGTTTCTTGGGGGGGGTGTTTAGTATGAACGGGGGAAGGTATTAACATCTAACTATGATATTTCATTATTTTGAACCATTAAGCAGTCCATTAAGTAATCCATTATACACCATTATCAGCGATCAATAAGGCATTATCAACGATAAAAGCCATGACTATGAACCATTAAGCAATCCGTTAAGCAATCCATTAAGCAATCTATTACCCACCATTATCAGTAGTCAGCAAGCCACTATCAACTTCAAAAGCAATGACTATGAACCATTGATTAAGCAATCCATGACGTAATGCATTATTCACCATTATCAGTCCCCAACAACCCATTATCAACCATAAAAGCCATGAGTATGAACCATTAAGCAATCCATTCAGGAATCCGTTTTCCACCATTGTCAGTAATCAGCAATCCATTATCAACCATAAAAGCCATGACTATGAACCCTTAAGGGGTCCATGAGGTACTCCACTATGCACCATTATCAGTCATCAACAATCCATTGTCAACTTTAAAAGCCATGACTAGGAACCATTAAGCAATCCATTGAGTAATCCAATTTTCACCATTATCAGTCCCCAACAACCCATTATCAACTATATAAGCCATGACTAGGAACCATTAAGAAATCCATTAAGTAATCCATTATTCACCATTACCAGGAACTAGAATCCATTTTCCACAATAAAGGCAATGACTATGAACCATTATGCAATCCATTATATAAGCAATCCATGTTTTGCCAGTATCAGTCATCAACAATCCATTATCAACTTTAAGAGCCATGACTATGAACCTTTAAGCAATCCATTAAGTAATCCAATTTTCACAATTATCAATCATCAACAATCCATTATCACCTATATAAGCCGTGACTAGGAACCATTAAGCAATCCATTAAGTAATCCAATTTTCACCATTATCAATCATCAACAATCCATTATCAACTATATAAGCCATGACTAAGAACCATTAAGCAATCCATTAAGTAATCCAATCTTCACCATTATCAATCATCAACAATCCATTATCAACTATATAAGCCATGACTAGGAACCACTAAGCAATCCATTAAGTCACAACCTTTGCTTCTGATTGTCTGAGTCCCACAGCTGCATGCGTGCTGCGTCTCCCTCTAGGTCTCCCTCCGAGCCGCGGTGGCCAAAGTGGACCGTTCGGCCACTGGGCTGCAAGGGCGCTGGAGACCCATGGTGGTTGGGGACGTTGTTTCTCCAACGAAACAACCATTAATTCCATATGAAATGGGAGATGATATGGAACTAACACAAAAAATGTGGGTTTCGGATGGATTTAATATAATTTCATGGGCAGTAAGCCACTTTTGATGGTCATTTAATGGTGAATGAAGCATCACATGTTGGTTGAAGCAGAAACAAATGGTGGTTCAATGGGAGTTTATACACAATATATTTAAATATAATGATATATAAAATATGTTTGTTTAATATTTATATTGGTGATATCATTTGGGATAGAATGGGATATAACTGGATTTAATGGAATATTAATGTAATATATTCGGAATAACCACTGGATGTGTTTTCCACCAACTTAGCTAACTATGGGGTACCACCCTGAAAATTGTTTAATATCAAGTCTAGCTATCACTACAAGAATCATTATAATTTCCTTTTTTTTTTGCAGATTCTATGTCAAACTGCGCACACCTCGATCAAGTAACTTGGATAATGCCTCATGAAGGGTTGATATTTCAGCGCAAGAGGACTCTAGAACCATTAGCCCATGATTGAAGTCTTCATTTAAATTTCAATGGTTTTTACATACATAATCAAGTCTAAATTTTAATCGATTAACAAATTTGATTGCTTTAGAGGTCAATGATTATCCAGCATGCATGGTTTGATCAATTTTCCGAACGGGAAACCATGCCATGGTTTTTCCGCATCTACCCTCCAGTAAACCAACATAGCTATGGACAATGGACCATTTATAGATGATTTAACTATTAAAATAATGATTTTCCATAGCAATGTTCGTTTAGTGAAGGGTGTATTCAGAATACAAAACTAATAATGTGGATAAAACAATTTCATAAACCATCCCCCAGTCATCACCATTTTTATAGGTGGTATGTTTACCATTCCCTGTCATGGGTGGTTCATGGCATTGTTTTACACACATTACCTTATCATATGGATCCAAACACTGTCTGAGAATGTATAAGCCCCTAGTCATCATACTCCAGTCGTACTTCCTGAGAAGGTACTTGGATCCATAGGGTTTATCATATTGATGTTCCCAGCGAACGAAACCTCCATTGAGTTCGAGGATCATCCAAGGGTTGACTGATATCCATAGGTGGTCTTCGCATCACACACCATCGACACTACTGGCGGCAGTGCCTATGGTGGACATATCGAGATCATCGATTTGTTGGGGACCTCGGAGGCGGACACTGGCGGAAAATGGTGGTTTAAAACAACAAAAACATGGTGGCTTTCATTCGGTTTTATGGGTTTCGTCCACTTTGAATGGCGATTTATGTGATTTGATGAAAAATAGTTATATACCCTTCAGTTGTTCAAGATGGCTATGGAGAAGCATCATTTTAATGGGTAAATGATCTACAAACATGCAATTTTCCAATGCTATGTTAATTAGATTGCCAGAGAGTAGTCAAAAACTGCCAGACATGAAGATTTAGTGGTTTAGTGAACTTAGCGAGCAAAAGGTGTGCAAAGTGGCGCAAAGTTACGATTTAAGGGGCGAAATACGGGTGAAGCATAGAGAAACAGAAGGAAACTATTGGCAAAAAGTGCCAACAGTGGCTCGACGTGGCGACTTAGCCAGCAAAAACATGCGGAACCTATGGGGATTTAAGTGGCATGCACATTGAAAAGTACAGTTATGGCCATTTATTAGTTATAACTTATAACTGGTTATAAATGGGATTATACATTCTATAAATGGGGTTATAAGTACTTATAACTGGTAAATGGCCATAACTGTAATGGACACGAATTGTGCAAAAATTAGATTTGATGCTTCAACAATTAGGGAAACATAGGCTTTGACAAGCAAAACATGACACAATTCATTAGGATTTAAGCAACAAATTTTTTTGGGTTCTTGAGGGGCCACCGAGCCTAATCAAGGTTTGCAAGGGGAAGTTCCCTGGTCCCTGGATGGTTTGATGCAGCGCAACGGAAGCAACGGAACCACCGGAACGTTCGTTCGACTGAGGACCTTAGATGACATCGATGCTACCAAGTGGGTGGGCACCGCCGACTTCAGGCGTCGGAGAGGTTTCTAAAAAGAAATACGGTAGCTCCAAAAAAGACATGTTTATTGTTTATTGACATGTTTATTGACAGGGAACATATACATCTAGAAATGGTATGGATGGTTTATTCAAATGGAAGATGTACATCTATGGATTGTGAACATCAGGGTAAACTTCTTACCCCTTTAGGACACCTCCACTGCATTTCGATTTAAGCATGAAACCTATAGCCATGGACATCCAGCTCCAGCGAATTTCAGCGATCGGAAGATCATATTCAAATTGTGGTGGTTTTCAATGTTGGTTTGTGAATATACCGGAGGGTACCAATCAAACTACAATCTTCCCAACATGTGGATCAAACCATCTGAGCAGTGAAGCTCTGCTGTTTGACGATTAGTTCAATTTTTTTTTTACTAGCCTTGATTCAGATTGGAATTTAGTGGATTAACCTGCCACTATAGAGGGGCGAGGGTTTCGAACCCGGCTCAGACTGCAGAAATTTCTCGATTCATCTCATTTCTTATTGTATTCATCCATATGTCCATTTATAAATGGATATTCCATGATTGTTTCTTTATCGATTTCTTATTGTCTGTTGATTTTTCTTGGGGTCCGGCAGGGTTTTGCTCGTGGTTTGCTCGGCTGTGTTTGGAGTAGATCACAACCTTGAAAGGCTGGCTGGCCACGCATATTTTGTCGACCTTTCTTCAATGTACCTTACTGGTAAACGTTTACAGTTTGCTATCGAAAATGGCCATAGAAATAGTGGATGATTTATCCATTAAAAAAATAGTGGATTTTTCCATAGCTATGTGCAAAAAAAAGGTGATCATTCTTTTTCTAGTGCCACTGTAAAAATATGAGTGGTTTCCTTGACAAAAATATCTCGGAAGATGATGAAAATCAAAATTCGAATTGCGTCACTGGGTAAAATTATGACCAGCATGGCGCTATATTCTTACTGCTGTTGTTTCGGTGAACACTTCATCAAGTACGATACTTAGTATTACTTAGTGTGTGGAGGGACATTTCACCTTGCGGCGTATCATTTTTTCTATGCGGTGAACGGAGGGAGCGATTCGGGGCTGTGGGTTTCCACATTCAACATTCAATGGGGAGCCAGTTGGAGCTACGAAACTCGAGTTTCCCTTGAATTTATCTATCACTACGATGGATATCCCGAGACAATGGATATGGGCGAGAATGGGGGCTATCTAGCGACAAAAAATGGCTGCGGAAGGGGGAAGGATCCCCCAGAGCGGTTAATGGTGGATCCGAAAATCAAATGGTAACTGTGGGTAGCCCTATGACTTAGCTGGTTGGTGGTTTGGAACATGGCTTTTATTTTCCATAATATATGGGATAATCCTTCCCATTGACTAATATTTTTCAGAGGGGTAGGTCAACCACCAACCACTTAGGAAACCTCCATATTCTTAGAAGGTAGGAGAACTACAAGTTGGTGGCCCCCCAGCTATGTTTCATGTGACAGGTACACTCATTTTGAGACCTTGGGCAAGGGTGCTTTGTCGGCGGTGCGGATGCCTAGAGTGGCCATCGTTTTTTCTGGGAGATGTGAACATGGTGGCGACGGTGACCCCTGAATCAAACATGGCTGAGATATAACATGACGATAATATACAAGGTGGTGCCCCCCCAAGATAGCTAAGTTGGTTTATAACTCCAATAACATCCAATAACTATAGTTTATAGGTGATACATCTAGAATTAATGGGCTTATTTCACCAATTTATAACTGGGGGGCACCACCAACCGTACGTATGGCTCATGATGGGTCTGTGATTTTCATATAATGAAAAATGATTTAATGATGGTAATACCTATGGTATATATATATAATTATATATATATTCACATTTTTGTAAAGGGGAATTCATGGAACACATCACCATAGTTCTGGGTAAATTTCATCACGACCGAAGCCTGTTCGACCGAGCCCGTTTTGATCATAGGATTTGGATTTGGGGGAATCATCCCCTTTTATGGCCACAAGATTCAGGTTAGTGAAATATTATAATGATTCAATTGGTTTAAGGGAAAATCTACAGGAAACCATTGTTTTTACCATCAAATATAGGGGTTTCCTGTAAATTGTCCCATCATCCAATTCTATGATATAATTTACCTAGATAAATGAGAAAAAATGACGGTATGTGAGAATGATATTCTTGGAATAAAATTGGATATATGACAGAAGTCCCCAAGAATCAAACATGGCTAGCTGTGACATGGGAAAGTCATCGGACCTTAAAGTGGTGGCTTTTCCAGCCATGGTTGGTTCAAGAGCTCCTCTCTTGGAGTAGATGGGGATGACCTGCGGGTGCGTATCTATAGATGTGCATGATGTCGGCTGGTGTGGTGATGATTGATGATTGATGTTTTACGAAGGGATGTAATGGATGGCAAGTATTTTACCATTTTTCAATTCAGTAAAGGTAAACCATCCATTTCTATGCTATTTCTATGGGCCATCCATCTATACCATGGCCTCTGGTGCTATGAAATGGTCCTCACAGTTTGCGAACTGGAACATGGAAATAGTTGATAAACATGATGGTTTATGATGAGTTACCATGATTTACCTTTTACAGCTGGTGATGTTATGTGTGATTTTATGTGATTTTCCATCTTGAATAGGTAAATCATGGAAAATCATCATAATAAATATGATTTACCTATCCAAATGTGGTGATATTTTCCAGCTCGCCCAGTTCGAAGTAAAAACCAGAATCCAGCGTTGAGCGCCAGGCGGTGAAAGTTACCTATAGCTCCAATTTCGCAGGGACCCCCAGGGAGAAAAAACGGCCACTGGCCCCTTGGGCCGGCCCTTTTAATGGTTCTAACGTGTGGAAGAACGTGTTCAACAGATCGATCGAAGCGAAAGCATCGTTTATACACCAACGTTTATGGTTACTAACCTGGACATTTTGAAACTGGAGTTAATATTTGCCTTAAGAAATGCGCATAATAAGAACCAACGTAAGTAGAGACAGTGGGGTGGCTGCGGTTTTGTGTTTCATTTTGACGCAGTTTTACTCTCACGCTGACAAGTTCAATATTATAAGATTGCATTCCTTTTGTGATGATAAGTTTAAGATTCACATTCAAACCTGAACAAAGAAGATCACACATTGATGAGTTCAATATTATAAGATTGATAAATTCAATATGATGATTGATAGTTCAATATGATGATTGATAAGTTCAATCTTTCAATGATAGTTCAATACTATAATTTATATAATGTCAAATTTGATGCTGTTTCCTTTCTCATGTGATAAGCGGTAGCCCTGCGCCGGCCGTTAACACGTCTCATCGATCTTTGGGAGAGGAAGCTTTGAGCAAAAATAGAGTGGTTGCAGTGGCACAACCATTAGAATGATCATATTTATGTGTATATAATTGTATATATATATATGTTATAGTAAATATACATATATAATCATATATATATATACACCTTGTACATCATACATATATAATCATATATATATATACACGTGTTTTCTTCTAGAATATAGTTAATTGGTGCAAGAAAGGCCTCCCACTTATTGGTGTTTGTTCTCCTATCCAACTGCAGATTCATCCCAGCTAGTGATGTTCACCAACTTGGCTAACTGATGATCCTAAGTATCCCCTCAATCTTCGCCACTTACGCCTACTTGACAGGTCACACCACTAAGTGAAGTAAAAATGTGTAAAAAACATAAGCATGTTGTGAGGGTGAGAGTATCAAAGATTTAGAAGATATAATGATATAATGCTCCTACTCACTGTAACTTCTTATGGATTTCTTATGTATGATTACTAAGTCAACTTGCTTTGTCATATTTTGCAATTCAGATGTAACCATCATCAAACCATACATATATATATATATGTATATATATATATATAATACACACACATTATACAATAATTATCCATGTCAAGAGCTAGCCTTATATATAAACCAAGATAGTAGCTACCATAGATGTGTAAATCTCATGTTATGAACCATGTTTAACTCTATGTTTAAGTCCCATGTTGAGGTCGAAAAAAGTACAGTTCCGGCCGCTTGTTTCAGGAGCCACCACCTGTGATCTCCTTCCACGGCTGTTCCTGGACAAATTCGCAGGCTCCCAAAATCCGACGGTACCACGAAAGGATAGGGATTGAACCAGTCCAAATTGGGACATGGAAATTTGGCATTTAGCCATCAAACTGGGGATGAATTGAGATTTAACCAGGATTGAAGAAATTGCACTTGAAGATCAAAACATTATATTTAGGGAAGCTTTGATGAAATTACAGCTTCAGGCGAACTATGGCAACTGCCCAGCGAAGCTCAATAAACACTTGGCTCGCTCACCGTGTGTGAATTACAGCAATGAGTCATTGTTACAATGTGAGGCCCCCCAGTTATAAGTTGGTTTATAAGCCCCAGTAACTATAGTTATAAGTACCATAAACCATAGTTATTGGAGTTATAAACCAAGTTAGCTATCTTGGGGGCCTCACATTGTATGGTTATTATCCACTGATGTATTTCACATGATTATTTACCCAGCACCTACTCACCGGGATGTGCCCTCAAGTGTTTTTTTTTTGTGTTTCCATTTTGCTGAAATCATCAATCCCAACTATAAATCAACTATAAATCCAATATAAATCCCTAAGTTTGCTGCTTCAATCACCATGTGTTTGTGGTTTTATGTCCCAATGTTTTGTCATCACAGCTCTTTTGGTGGCCAGGAGTATGCCTTGCATTTGGAGTCTGCCAACGTTCCCACGCTCATCACTGAGAATGTGCCGAGGATGCAGCGTTGCAGGGAAGGTTTGACACAACTTCACATGGGGATGTGAGAAAAACATGGTGAAACATGGGGGCTGATAACCAGAAATCTTGGGGTATAGACAATAATAATCTATGATAGTCATCCTGGAGCAGATAGAATATGGAACTTTCAACATACCATCACTCAAATGATGAAATCTTATAGCATTCCATATTCTTTCAACTTCATGATTATTATATGTAAATATGTTCAAATATGTTCACATATTTTCAAAAATGTTCAAATATGTTCAAATATAGTATATTTATTATATATGATAACCATTGAGAACCTACATCGAGGGGTGGTATCACAGGCAACAAACCATCCTTTCACTATATAAGTACAATATATTCAAAGATGAGAATCTTTGATTTGGTTGATGTACCGTGCGACTACTGGTGTGGCAGTATATCAACCAAAAGAACAAATGCTATGATTTCGACAACAAAAGTGAGGATACATTGGGACCATACAACTGGGTAAACAGACCAATAAAGGGTAGGTGAACATGTGCAATTTTGGTTGTAATTTTCATGATGGGAACATATGTCCTCCCGGAAACTCTAATCTTGCATACGGAGGTTGCCTCAACAGTTGTCACGCGTCCTTCAGAAAAAAACAAGGTGGGCCAGAGAACCCAAAAGCAAGACGGCACACAGCACGCCTTTTCTTGAAAATCTTGGGGTGTGGCCAGCTGTGCTCTGCACGAAATCGACGTAAGATCTTTACTCAAACATCGTGCGCACTGATGGTATCAGGGGCCACGATTCACCACAGCATGCTGTGTCAGCTACGCCTACAGTCTTCTAGTCGCTATTTCTGTTAATGTAATTAACTCTATCCCATCTGTCTAGTCGCTATCTATTTCTGCGTTCTCGTTTAGTTTGCTTCGCCGCAGAGGGAGCGAGCACGAAGCGTGGACGGACAGAACGAAATGAAAATTAAACGACAGAGGGAGCTGACCAAAAGAGCATGAAAACGAAGATATATATGAAGGTGACAGATGGCAAATGATCATGAAAAATGAGACATGATAAAAGATGGGTAAAGACTTCTCTGTACAAAAGCTTCTTTGCATAAAAGCTTCTGCAAGTAAAAGCTTCTGTGGGCAAGAACTTCTCTGTGTAAAGGTTTTTGGTGTAAAAGCTCTTGTGTGTAAAATCTTCTGTGTAAAACGCGCTCTGTGTGTAAAAGTTTCTGTTTGCGAAAGTTTCTTTGCGTACCAGCTTCTGTCTGTAAAAGCTCCTCTGTGTTAAGGTTTTGTTTGTGTAAAGCTTCTGTGTGCAAAAGCTTCTCTGTGTAAAAGACTTCTCTGTGTCAAAGCCTCTGAGTGTACAAGCTTCTCTGTGTAAAAGTTCCTCTGTGTAAAAGCTCCTCTGTGAAAAAGCCGCTCTGTGTAAAAGGCTTCTGTGTGTAAAAGCCTCTGTGTGTGCAAGCTTCTCTGTGTCAAGACTTCTTTGTGTAAAGATTTCTCTGTGTAAAAACTACTCTGTGTAAACGCTTCCGTGTAAACTCTTTCCTGTGTAAACGCCTCCGTGTGTAAAGACTTCTCTGTGTAAACCCGTCTGTGTGTAAAAGCTCCTTTGTTTAAAGGTTTTTTTGTGTTAAAAGCTTCTGTGTGTAAAACCTTCTGTGTGTAAAAGTTTCTGTGTGTAAAAGCTTCTGTGTGTAAAGGTTTCTGTGTGTAAAAGCTTCTGTGTATTAAAAAACCTTATGTAAAAGCTTCTGTGTAAAAAAGCCCCCTGTGTGTACAAGCTTCGCTGCGTAAAAGCTGCTCTGTGTAAAAAATCTGTGCGCCGTAAAGTTGTCTGTTTGTAAAACCTCCTGTGTGTGTGTGAAAGCGTCTGTGTGTACAAGATTCTGTGTGCAAAAGCTCCTCTGTGCAAAGACTTCTCTGTGTACAAAGCTTCTGTGTGTGAAAGTTTCTGTGTGTAAAAGCTTTCCTGTGTAAAAGTTTTCTTGTGCAAATGCTCCTGTGTGAAAAACTTCTCTGTGTAAAGGCTTTTTTGTGTAAAAGCTTCTGTGTGTACAAGCTCCTCTGTGTTAAAGTTTCTGTGCGCCGAAAGAACGTCTATCTGTAACACCTTCTGCGTGTAAATCTCGTTTGTGTAAGGACTTCTCTCGTAAAAGCTCCTCTGTGTCAAGACTTCTTTGTGCGAAAGGCTTCTCTCTGTAAAAGCCTTTGTGTGTACAGGCTTCTCTGTCTCAAGACTTCTCTGTGTAAAGACTTCTGTGTGTAAAAGCTACTCTGTGCAAAAAAGCTTCTGTGCGTAAAGGCTTCTGTGTCAAGACTCCTCTGTGTCTCTGTAAACGCGTCTGTGTGTCAAAGTTTCTGTGTAAAGGCTTTTTTTGTGTAAAAGCTTCTCTGTGCATGTCCCATTTTTCAGCCTTTGCAAACCGTTTGACCGGTCTTGGGACCATTTGACCAGTCTTGGGTCCACAATTTTTTCAGGCCAATCGCAATGATGGCATTTGTCCTGAAAAAACCCGTGCCAACAGCTCTGCCGCAAACTATTTTCAAGGTTTCCTATCCGTCCAGCATGTTGTCTCGCTCCCTCCAGCGAAGCTCTCCGCAAGCTATTTCCACGGTTTTGTCCCGTCCAGCATGCTGTCTCGCTCCCTCCCAGCAAGGCTCTCCGCAAGATATTTCCACGGTTTCCTCTCCGTCCAGCACGCTGTCTCGCTCCCTTCCAGCGAAGCTCTCCGCTAGCTATTTCCACGGTTTCCTGTCCATCCAGCATGCTGTCTCCCTCCCTCCCAGCGACGCTCTCCGCAACCTATTTGCACGGTTTCCTCTCCGTCCAGCACGCTGTCTCGCTCCCGCCCAGCGAAGCTCTCCGCAAGCTATTTGCACGGTTTCCTCTCCGTCCAGCATGCTATCTCGCTTCCTCCCGGCGAAGCTCTCCGCAACCTATTTGCACGGTTTCCTCTCCGTCCAGCATGCTGTCTCGCTCCCTCCCAGCGAAGCTCTCCTTAACCTATTTCCACGGTTTCCTCTCCGTCCAGGATGCTGTCTCGCTCCCTCCCAGCAAAGCTTTCCGCAAACTATTTGCACGGTTTTCTCTCCGTCCAGCATGCTGTCTCGCTCCCTCCCAGCGAAGCTTTCCGCAAGCTGTCTCGCTCCCTCCCAGCTCAGCAAGCTATTTCCACGGTTTCCTATCCGTCCAGCATGTTATCTCGCTCCCTCCCAGCGAAACTCTCCGCAAGCTATTTTCACACTTTCCTCCGTGCAGCATGCTGTCTCCCTCCCTCCCAGTGAAGCTCTCCGCAACCTATTTGCACGGTTTCTTCTCCGTCCAACATGCTGTCTCGCTCCCTCCCAGCGGACTTTCCCCAAGCTATTTCCACGGTTTTCTCTCCGTCCAGCATGCTGTCTCGCTCCCTCCCAGTGGAGCTCTCCGCAAGCTATTTTCACGGTTTCCTCTCCGTCCAGCATGCTGTCTCGCTCCCTCCCAGCGAAGCTCTCCGCAAGCTATTTGGACGGTTTCCTCTCCGTCCAGCATGCTATCTCGCTTCCTCCCAGCGAAGCTCTCCGAAACTATTTCCACGGTTTCCCATCCGTCCAGTTGTCTCGTTCCCTTCCAGCGAAGCTCCCCGCAAGCTATTTGCACGGTTTCCTCTCCGTCCAGCATGCTGTCTCATCCTCTCGCGCTTCCTCCCAGCAAAGCTCTCCGCAAGCTATTTCCACAGTTTTCGTCTCCGTGCAGCATGCTGTCTTGCTCCCTCCCAGCGAAGTTTCCTCAAGCTATTTCCACGGCATCATCCCGTCCAGCATGCTGTCTCGCTCCCTTCAAGCGCAACTTTCCGCAAGCTATTTGCACGCTTTCTTCTCCGTCCAGCATGCTGTCTCGCTCCCTCCCACCGAAGTTTCCCCAAGCTATTTCCACGGTTTTCCCGTCCAGCATCCGGTCTCGTTCCCTCCCAGCGAAGTTTCCCCAAGCTATTTCCACGGCTTCATCCCGCCGAGCATCCGGTCTCGCTCCCTCCCAGCGAAGTTTCCGCAAGCTATTTGCACGCTTTCTTCTCCGTCCAGCATGCTGTCTCGCTCCCTCCCACCGAAGTTTCCCCAAGCTATTTCCACGGTTTTGTCCCGTCCAGCATGCTGTCGCGCTTCCTCCCAGCGCAGCTTTCCGTCCAGCATGCTGTCTCGCTCCCATCCAGCGCAGTTTCCCCAAGCTATTTTCCACGGTTTTGTCCCGTCCAGCATGCTGTCTCGCTCCCTCCCCGCGCAGTTTCCCGAAGCTATTTCCACGGTTTTGTCCCGTCCAGCATCCGGTCTCGCTCCCTCCCAGCGAAGTTTCCCCAAGCTATTTTCCACGGTTTTGTCCCGTCCAGCATGCTGTCTCGCTCCCTCCCAGCGAAGTTTCCCCAAGCTATTTCCACGGCTTCATCCCGTCCAGCATCCAGTCTCGCTCCTTCCCAGCGAAGTTTCCCCAAGCTATTTCCACGGCTTCATCCCGTCCAGCATCCGGTCTCGCTCCCTCCCAGCGCAGTTTCCCCAAGCTATTTCCACGGCTTCATCCCGTCCAGCATCCGGTCTCGCTCCCTCCCAGCGAAGTTTCCCCAAGCTATTTCCACGGCTTCATCCCGTCCAGCATCCGGTCTCGCTCCCTCCCAGCGCAGTTTCCCCAAGCTATTTCCACGGCTTCATCCCGTCCAGCATCCGGTCTCGCTCCCTCCCAGCGAAGTTTCCCCAAGCTATTTCCACGGCTTCATCCCGTCCAGCATCCGGTCTCGCCCCCTCCCAGCGAAGTTTCCCCAAGCTATTTCCACGGCTTCATCCCGTCCAGCATCCGGTCTCGCTCCCTCCCAGCGCAGTTTCCCCAAGCTATTTCCACGGCTTCATCCCGTCCGAGCATCCGGTCTCGCTCCCTCCCAGCGAAGTTTCCCCAAGCTATTTCCACGGCTTCATCCCGTCCAGCATCCGGTCTCGCTCCTTCCCAGTGCAGTTTCCCCAAGCTATTTGCACGGCTTCATCCCGTCCAGCATCTGGTCTCGCTCCCTCCCAGCGAAGTTTCCCCAAGCTATTTCCACGGCTTCATCCCGTCTAGCATCCGGTCTCGCTCCTTCCCAGCGCAGTTTCCTCAAGCTATTTCCACGGCTTCATCCCGTCCAGCATCCGGTCTCGCTCCCTCCCAGAGAAGTTTCCCCAAGCTATTTCCACGGCTTCATCCCGTCCAGCATCCGGTCTCGCTCCCTCCCAGCGAAGTTTCCCCAAGCTATTTCCACGGCTTCATCCCGTCCAGCATCCGGTCTCGCTCCTTCCCAGCGAAGTTTCCCAAAGCTATTTCCACGGCTTCATCCCGTCCAGCATCCGGTCTCGCTCCCTCCCAGCGAAGTTTCCCCAAGCTATTTCCACGGCTTCATCCCGCCGAGCATCCGGTCTCGCTCCCTCCCAGCGAAGTTTCCCCAAGCTATTTCCACGGCTTCACCCCGTCCAGCATCCGGTCTCGCTCCTTCCCAGTGCAGTTTCCCCAAGCTATTTGCACGGCTTCATCCCGTCCAGCATCCGGTCTCGCTCCCTCCCAGCGAAGTTTCCCCAAGCTATTTCCACGGCTTCATCCCGTCCAGCATCCGGTCTCGCTCCCTCCCAGCGAAATTTCCCCAAGCTATTTCCACGGCTTCATCCCGTCAGCATCCGGTCTCGCTCCCTCCCAGCGCAGTTTCCCCAAGCTATTTCCACGGCTTCATCCCGTCGAGCATCCGGTCTCGCTCCCTCCCAGCGAAGTTTCCTTAAGCGATTTCCACGGCTTCATCCCGTCCAGCATCCGGTCTCGCTCCCTCCCAGCGAAGTTTCCCCAAGCTATTTCCACGGCTTCATCCCGTTCAGCATCCGGTCTCGCTCCCTCCCAGCGAAATTTCCCCAAGCTATTTCCACGGCTTCATCCCGTCCAGCATCCGGTCTCGCCCCCTCCCAGCGCAGTTTCCCCAAGCTATTTCCACGGCTTCATCCCGTCGAGCATCCGGTCTCGCTCCCTCCCAGCGAAGTTTCCCCAAGCTATTTCCACGGCTTCATCCCGTCCAGCATCCGGTCTCGCTCCCTCCCAGCGAAGTTGCCCCAAGCTATTTCCACGGCTTCATCCCGTCGAGCATCCGGTCTCGCTCCCTCCCAACGAAATTTCCCCAAGCTATTTCCACGGCTTCATCCCGTCCAGCATCCGGTCTCGCTCCCTCCCAGCGAAGTTTCCCCAAGCTATTTCCACGGCTTCATCCCGTCGAGCATCCGGTCTCGCTCCCTCCCAGCGAAGTTTCCCCAAGCTATTTCCCCAAGCTATTTCCACGGCTTCATCCAGTCGAGCATCCGGTCTCGCTCCCTCCCAGCGAAGTTTCCCCAAGCTATTTCCACGGCTTCATCCCGTCCAGCATCCGGTCTCGCTCCCTCCCAGCGAAGTTTCCCCAAGCTATTTCCCCAAGCGATTTCCATGGCTTCATCCCGTCGAGCATCCGGTCTCGCTCCCTCCCAGCGAAGTTTCCCCAAGCTATTTCCCCAAGCTATTTCCACCGCTTTATCCCGTCGAGCATCCGGTCTCGCTCCCTCCCAGCGCAGTTTCCCCAAGCTATTTCCACGGCTTCATCCCGTCGAGCATCCGGTCTCGCTCCCTCCCAGCGAAGTTTCCCCAAGCTATTTCCACGGCTTCATCCCGTCCAGCATCCGGTCTCGCTCCCTCCCAGCGAAGTTTCCCCAAGCTATTTCCACGCCTTCATCCCGTCCAGCATCCGGTCTCGCTCCTTCCCAGCGCAGTTTCCCCAAGCTATTTCCACGGCTTCATCCCGTCCAGCATCCGGTCTCGCTCCCTCCCAGCGAAGTTTCCCCAAGCTATTTCCCCAAGCTCTTTCCACGGCTTCATCCCGTCGAGCATCCGGTCTCGCTCCCTCCCAGCGAAGTTTCCCCCAAGCTATTTCCCCAAGCTATTTCCACGGCTTCATTCCGTCGAGCATCCGGTCTCGCTCCCTCCCAGCGAAGTTTCCCCAAGCTATTTCCACGGCTTCATCCCGTCCAGCATCCGGTCTCGCTCCCTCCCAGCGCAGTTTCCCCAAGCTATTTCCACGGCTTCATCCCGTCGAGCATCCGGTCTCGCTCCCTCCCAGCGAAGTCTCCCCAAGCTATTTCCCCAAGCTATTTCCACGGCTTCATCCCGTCCAGCATCCGGTCTCGCTCCCTCCCAGTTGTCACGCGTCCTTCAGAAAAAAATAACAGAGTTCATTGGATAGAGGTACTTTGGAAAAGGTTGATTGAGAGTGAAGGATTGCGCTATTCTGAGAATATGACAGCTTTTTACAGTAACATGACTGGGAATGGGTCCAAAGGATGTGCTTACCCTAAAAGCTGGCCATTTCTGAGCCATTTTGGCTCAATCATTTGGCGAAATAGGTGAGAAGTCCTTTGCCGTCCAATGGTTTCTGCAGGGGAGAATCACACAGTGCTTCTCAGAAGTGATGGCATTGCTGTGGCTTGCGGAGCCAATCATGATGGACAATGTAACTTTCCACGTTTAGATGATGGAATGCTGTATGCCAAAGTTTCTGCAGGGAGTTATCACTCAATACTTCTGAGAAGTGATGGCATTGCTGTGGCCTGCGGAATGAACAAGCATGGACAATGTAACATTCCATGCCTAGAGGACGGAATGACGTATACTCAAGTTTCTGCAGGTGGGAGTCACACAGTACTTCTCAGAAGCGATGGCATTGCTGTGGCGTGCGGAAACCCTGCACATGGACGCAACATTCCGAGTCTGGATGATACAATGACATATACCCAGGTTTCTGCAGGTCAGAGTCACACTGTACTTCTTAGAAGTGATGGCATTGCTGTGGCTTGCGGAGAGAACACTCATGGACAATGTAACATTCCATGTTTAGAGGACGGAATGACCTATACCCAAGTATATGCAGGTGATTTCCACACAGTACTTCTCAGAAGTGATGGCGTTGCTGTGGCTTGCGGACTCAGCACTCATGGAGCCTGTCACTTTCCACGTTTGGAGGACGGAATGAGGTATACCCAGGTTTCTGCAGGTGCGAATTTCACAGTACTTCTCAGAAGCGATGGCATTGCTGTGGCTCGCGGACTGAATGTTCAAGGGCAGTGTAACATTCCACGTTTAGATGACGGAATAACATACACCCAGGTTTTGACAGGTCGTTTTCACTCAGTACTTCTTAGAAGCGATGGCGGTGCTGTGGCTTGCGGAATGAACAATCATGGACAATGCAAAATGGTGACCCCTGATCCAGGGACTTGGTACGTCGCAGATGCGGAACTCTGTGGAGACATTGTGGTGCAACTCGATTTTGCCTGTCAGGATGATGCCATGCTGCTGACTTGCTCTGATTTGACTGGGGAAGCAGTAGTCTGTTTGAGTACAGCTCCACGTGAGCTTGCTTGGGGCATTCACAAGCGCATTGCGCGTGAATTGAAACTTCCCCTCCAGCGTCTTCGCGTGGTCTTGCCTGACGGACAATTGTTGGCCTCGGTCTGCCGTGCAAATCCAGGGGCCAGCCTTGCAGATGTCGCGACGCGCGGCCTCCGAGTTGAGCTGGAGTTGGATCAGAAAAGTCGAGGCCATGGGGGTGACCCACCAAAAATAATTTCAAAGTAGGTCATGGCAATGTCCATAGGATCCATGGTGCTGGTATATATGCTAACATTGGGGATATATTGATGGTAAATGTTAGCATATATACCAGCACCATGGATCCTATGGGTTATGGGGTGTGCAATTTTTTACACCGGGATACACAGCATTGCATGATTTTCTTGGGGGGGTACCCTATGATTCAGACCCCATGGTGAACGTATTTGGATGTGAAAGGGGCTTAAGGCCCCCGTTGACGATCGCTTTTTGGGGGCTTATACCAAGCAACAAACAGCCACCGGGGTGAATCCACCAAGAAATGAGAGATCTGGGGTTTGTGAAACAGTAGGGGTATATTGAAAAAATGCGGAGAATGACCATGGGTTGAAAATGGTTGAAATTGGACAAATGGGTTGAAAATTGTTGAAATGGGTAAATGGGTGTCCAATTTCAGAAGTGCATTAGACTCAGTTTTGAGCAAACTCAATTGATACTGTGTACATCTTTGTACATCTTTGTAGCCTAATGCTTGTAGTTCGGCCACAGGAGTCAGCATGATTTACTTTTGTAGGCCGAAGCGTGTGCTACTGGCATCTACCCGCCATCCAGATGGTTTTAGTTGGAGTCTAAAGTATGTGAAACAGCCGGAGTCATCATTATCTTGGGTCAATATATGCCAATTCAATATATGTCAATTCAATATATGTCAATAATTGTCAATATTCTATCCCAATTTGAAAAAACTTGAGATTTAATTACTCAAAACTGGCCCTTCAGAACGCAGTGACTTGTAGGGCAACATGCGCCAAGATGGCGCACCATGGAGCAGTCCAACTCAACACTGTCGAGGGTACCTTATTTCGAGCCCTGACCGAGACGATCATCTTCCATGGCGGTTTCAGCTCCAAACCATGGCATTTCAGACATGATGAATTTTGCTTTGGGGAGTCCTTGAAGAAACACAACTTAGAAACTATGTCGCGGTGTAACCCCTAGTTGTGTTGGTCCAGTATCTAGATATCTCCTTCCACAGGTCCATTGGAGTTTTCCGCAGCAACGGAGCGTGCACCGGTTTGGGCACCACCTGTTTGCAGCGCCGCGCGCCCAGGTGATGTTTAGGTCCTACAACGGCGGCATCTTCCTGCAGACGGTGCGGTCCTGGGATGACCTTGGTGAACTATGGTGAACTCTGGGATTTATCGGGAATATTACCATCTGGTTATGACTAACATAGCCATGGAAAATCACAATTTTTAATAGGTAAACCATCTATTTCTATGGGTTATTTCCCATGGCTATGTTAAATAACCAGAGGGTACTGAATTTACTCATTTACTGTAGTATTCATGGGTTTATAAACCAAGAAACATCAACAGGGGGCCCTCATAATTTGAGGATGAGTCAATAGCCCAAAATTCGATCGGTACCCGTGGTGAACCTCTTGGGATGCCCAACATTCGAATATTGTGATGTGTTTTTTGGCAATTTTCAATAGCTATGTTAGTTTACCAGAGGGTATCATTTGTTTTTGTGTTCACATTTAACACCCTGGAACGGTGCACTGGATTTTGGTTGATCTCTTGAGCCAATGGTTGTGAAGAGTTAGATATTTGTCCGTTCCAAAGACGTGGGTACTGAGTACTGGTTGGTGGTTTGGAACATGGCTTTTATGACCGTCCATAATATTGGGAATATCATCATCCCGACTGACGAACTCCATCATTTTTCAGGGGTAGGTATACCACCAACCAGTGAATTCTAGATATTTGGAACCGACGCAATGAGTCTTGGACCGTTTTTTCAAGCTTTCGAAACATACAATGGAGAATTGACAAGCCTAAAGTCAGAGTTAGGTAGGTTCTAGCTTGGCCAGCCCACAGGTTGATGCCCCACAGTAATGTTTGTTGATAACATCTACGAAACCTTATTTGTTATACCCCCATCAACCCAGCAGTGAGATTGGAGTGATAAACATCAGCCACATCAAAGTTGCTTCATAAGTCCATTGATTATCATTCACTAGGGTCTCTGGGGGTTATGTCATGTTATGTCTGTAATATGGGGATTAAACTACCATTCAGTAGGGTCTATGGGGATTATGTTTGTATTCATGGTGATTATATAATGAACCAATAAACAATAAACCAACAATAAACCAACAAACATCACCTGGGTACCTGTGGTGTCCCCATGGAGCCGAAGTCCCGGCTCCTTCAGGACGAGATGACAGGCATGCCAGGGCCCCAGCTAGCGAAGAGTTCTGTTTTTTTTGTTCTCAAAGTGTCAAGTATGTCAAGCACCTACCCATAGGATCCATGGTGCTGCTATATATGCATCAATATACCCCAAATGTATCCAAATGTTAGCATATTTAATTATACCATACATGGATCCTATGGGCTAGTAAATGGGGGAGTATTCCTGAGATTTAGATTCGTTTTTTTTTCTACGTGATATACTCAGATGTACCCGGTATCCATACGCCCAATTTGTCCCAGCATACTCCTACGGCTGGATGGTTCAATACTCAAGGTGGCCGATTTGCCCGTTGGTACACTTTTTTAGGGTGCAGTGCAAGTTTAGAAATATGGGGACTTGTCGCCATAGTTGCAGGGGTTATATCAGTTCTATCCATTTCTATCATCTATCCCAACTTCAATGGTTTTCATGAGTTTTCCATGGTCATGCCAGGTGGTACCCCCCAGATAAGTTGGTTTACAAACCCCATGAGCTATAGTTATAGTTCCCATGAAACCCAACAATTAACCAAGTTACAAGTCAACTTAGCTAAGGATGGGGCACAACCTTGTGCCATGGTGATGCTTATAATTTACCTCAACTGCACCTGCAGAGCACTTGACCGATACTTCCCAGGCCTTGTAGCTCTCTCGAGGGATGCATGACGGGCCAAACCCCACGTGCCTCAGCCGTGACGTTCGCTTGCACCACTCCTTGGTGGTTTCAAATATGGACACCCCCAGAAAGAAAAGTAAATGATCACTTAAGTAGTGATAAACTATGGTGCTGCTATGGTAACATGGATCCCATCAATATACCCCAGTCATGTTAGCATTAATATACCATAGATGGACCCTATGGGTATGATAAACTACTTGTCTATCTTTTTCGGGGTTATGATCTCAAATGACTACTCTGAGTTGTTAAAGTTGAACGATTTCAATGAAATGAGCGTCCCAGCTGCGCGCACGCAACTTCTAAAGTTGACCAATGTTGCGTCCAGCTTGTGTCTAGCAAGTTAGTTTTTTCAGTTTTTGACTTTTTCGTGGGTTTTGCATTGCCAGCGACTTTGTGTGACTTCGTATTTAGGTTGTGTCTATACCATGTTTTCATGATCGCATGAAAGGACAATGAAAGGAAATGAGAGGAAATGAAAGGAGAATGAAAGGAACATGAAAGCAAATGAATCCAAAGGTCTGGGTTTTGATACCCTTTGACGTCGTTCGATACGTCGTTCGGACGTCGTTTTGACGTCGTTCGAAACAGCTACCCTCTGGTAAACTGACATAGCTATTGAAAATGGCCATTTATAGTGGATTTACCCATTAAAAATGTGATTTTCCATAGTTACGTTAGTTTACCAGAGGGTAACCGTGTCCCTACAGAATCCAACAGGTAAAAGCAGCTTTTCTTGTGATCACTTGCAATCTACATGTGGTGAATCACTGGCGTCCCAATATGACATGAGTGTTTTTTGTTGTATTTAAAACCACTTTGAAGATGTTTTGGGAGTTGCGTCCACAAGGTGTTTCCTCATCTTTCACACAGCAAAACTTGCCAAAACAGAGTTTGTCGGTCGGCGTCCCATTGGGGTTGACCTTGCTTTTGGTCAACTTATTTGACTTCCTGATCCAACGGCGTCCCAATGAGATTTGACAGAATTCTGTTATATAAATTGGTCGACTTTAACGGTTCGGAGTAGTGACGTATGTTTCTAGGGAACTAGGGAAGCCAAAAACCAGTGGAAGTGATGCCGCTGCAGCGTGGCTTGCACTGTGGTTTTGAAGATTACTGTATATTATATTTGATCCTCGTTCAGGGCCTGGT